TAGAACAAGCTTAGCAAAGCACAGGGACTGCGGTTCAATCCCCCAGCACCACATGCCAGCCAGCCCCACCCCCTGGTGGGCTGAGCTGGCCACACACACATAAATAAATAAATAAAAATTAAAAAAAAAATTCATCACAAGTTTTAGCCCTACCTTCTCCTTCCCATTCAGCCTCTTGAGTTGGCTTTCCCCTTGACCACACTGGCATACTCGAACAGCTTTTACATCTTCTCTTTCTGAGATCATTGTTATAATTTCTACACTTTGCATCCCTTCAGAAACCTGGAAGCAAATACAGTAACCATCTGCTGCTCTGCCTACTCAGCATCCTTCCATTCTTCCCTGGTGATAGCACTCTGGTGATCCTTTTATTATAGACAGCTAAATTAGCTAGAAAGTAATATGCACTCAGGGATTCAGCCCTCAGGGAAGTCCCAGGGCAAAAGGTGAAGAGAGCAAAATTGTGGCCGGCAAGCTCAAGATCCTGAGTTTGATCCCTGGTTAAAAAAAAAAAAATTGGGCCAGGGAGATGGCTCAGTGGAATAAGCACTTCCCTGGCAAGCGCAAGGACCTGAGTTCAATCCCCGGTTCCGCCAAAAAAAACAAAAAAAAAATTGTGGCTGGGATCTGAGCACTGTGGTTGGTGCATGCCTATAATCCCAGCACTCAGGAAGCTGAGGCAGGAGGATTTCTGTGAGTTTGAGACCAGCCTGGGCTACAAAGTAAGCTCAAGGCCAGCCTGAAGTGCATAATGAGACCTTGTCTCAAAAAGACCAAAAAAAAAAAAAAAAAAATTTGTGGGCGAGGCCTCAAAATGGAGACACAATAGGCAGACCTGCAGGCCTCTCTAGGAATAAACTGCAATGAGATTATAGCGTAATCAGCACCACTTGGTCCAGTGAACCCAAACAGGTATCAGACACAGGTGGGTGATGACATCCAGCCCTATGCCATGGAAGGTATATGACTCATTTCCATATTGGATCAATATTAACTGTTCATACTTATAATCCCATAAATTGGTAATAGTTTGATTTACATTGTACCCATGTTGCCAGCTGTATTAATTACCCTCGACAAACTGCCTCAGGGGCAACTCATTTTCCGAACATTGCCTGGCTCTCAGAAGCTTTCTTTTTTTTTTTTTGGCGACACTAGGGATTGATCTCAGGCCCTTGCGCTTGCCAGGGAAGCGCTTATCCCACTGAGCCATCTCCGGGGCCCCCTGTTTCAGAAGCTTTCTCTCAAGAAATCTTTCCTGGGGCCTGGGGTTTGGTCCCTGGCGTGCTGTGCCAGCCTGGCCCCCGGGCGATTGAGACTGGGCGTGGTGTTGCGCACCTGTAATCCCAGTGCTTGGGAGGGCGAAAACAGGAGAATCACTACCAGTCTGATCTGTGTAGTGAGACCCTGTAGACCCTGTACCAAATACATTAAAAAAAAAAAAAGAAGAAGAAGAAGACAAGAAAGAAAGAAAAAAAAAAGCCAGGGAGATGGCTCAGTGGAATAAGTGCTTCCCTGGCAAGCACAAGGGCCTCAGTTCAGTCCCCAGTTCTGCCCTCCCCAAAAAAAGCACATTAAAGAAAAGAAAAATCTTTTCTTAACCTCCATAGCCCTTGAAATTCATTCTTCTATACTTGAGGGATAGGAACTCAGGACACCTGATATCCAACAGGTTGGGAATTATTTTTATATCACTTTGATTTATTGATTTTTTTTTTTTTTCCGGAACCAGAGATTGAACTCAGGCCCTTGTGCTTGCCCGGCAAGCGCTTATTCTACTGAGCCATCTCCCCGGCCCTTTATATCACTTTGAGAAGTGATTCCCTTTTCCAGTCTGGCTCCAACATGAACAGGTGACTCTGGGCAATCAGCACATTTTATTTTCTTGGCCACAGTGATTGACAGGTAGTTCAAACCAAGGTGCAAAGGGAATGAGCTCAGGAAGGAGCCAGCCCTTTCATTCAAACTGGAAGAGCATTTGCCTGGAGATATATATATATATATCAGGAATCAAACTCAGCCACACGCTGGCTAGGCAGGTGCTATGCCACTGAGCTACATCCCTGGCCCTAGCCTACACTTAATGATCATCTTTGCAGCTATTTGTTATGTTGATTTTTGTTGTTGTTCTGATTTTTTGAGATAGGGTCTCTCCATGTTGTGCAGGGTAGCCTTGAACTGGAGGGGATCTTCCTGCCTCAGCCTCCCAAGTGCTGGGATTATAGGTGTGCACCACCACACCTGGCCTTTTGCAGCTATTTTGAGAGAACCTTCCGGAGCATAAAGCCAGTGCAGATGGAAAGCGCAGCCATGAGTTAAGAAAGATGTATTCTGTACTATACCTTTTGGATTCAGCCATGCCTGAAGGTAGCAGCATGCTTGGACTTTTCCATGCTATGACCCAATAAAAGAGTTGGTTGGAGT